TTTTTTTTTTTTTTTTTTTTTTTTTTTTTTTTTTTTTTTTTTTTGGAGCTTCGAGTATTATCGAGACGACTACAATATGGTTGTGTCCATTTTTACGTATGCGCCATCTCGGGATACCAGTGTACGTTTTTGTGTACAAAGAAGCTTTTTTTTTTTTTTTTTTTATCATCATTTGAAAGTTCCTTTTTTCCCCCAAGTTTCGTAGTGATTGTTAATTACTAAGCATTTGTAACATTCCTTCTTGTTCTGATAAATTAAAGAGCAGTTTGGCTCGCGATTTTACTCCTCTACGTATCCGTAGTCTCGATCTGCATGGATATACCTTCTATTTTTTTTATTCCATGCAAATTTATCCCCTTGACACATTAAATAAAGGTGACAAATCATTTTTATCATCAATATTAATTATTATATGACGTTCCGAATTTTATCTGTCCAATCGTTATTTTGCTATTTTCCCATCAACTGGAGCTCACATTTACTTTCACATGTAAATTTTTTTCTTTTCGGAGCGCTTCGGTAAATATGCTGAAAAATTTTTCTCTTATACACTTACACTTTTTTAATTATGACTGGAAAATATATAAGAGCACGCCCATGCATTGGTCGAGCCTGAAAATTTAAAGCTCAACGAAGCAAAAGACACCTATAATTTTTTTTTTAATATTATCGTCAACGTGAAACAGAAAATGTTTCCTTGATACTATATCATAATGTAATACAACAAAACTTTGTCGATTCAGTGAGCAGCGAGGCGCAGCCGGCGAAAAAGGACTCGAAGAAAAAGACTGAGAACAATGGCATCAAGAAGAAAAAAACCAGGTACGCGTGAATTTCATTGACATTTTATCGTGAAAAAGAAAAAAAAAATATACGTTCGCGCCATTAATTAAAAATAACTAAAAATCGGCACCTGCAAAGTAAGTAACCGAGATCCCCAATTCCATTATATATATATACCAAGCATTTTCTAACTGACCGCAACATTAACGATTCCACATTCCGGACAAAGTTTCAACAACTTTTTTCCCCAATCCGTCGGCACAATCCTCGGTTAACCTTTCCGACTTGAATACGTATATTGATTTTTGTTCTTCCCCAACAACGGGAGGCCCGCTTGTTGCACTCCCGTTATCTGGTAGTCGATTTTTTTGATACTTCCTAATTCCAACGCGATCTTTTCACCGCTCAATTATCCAATGAATTTCCCGCATAAGCGCAGAGCGTCAATCCTCCCCCACCTCTGGCTGACCCGACTAAACGGATATGTTATCTTTTCTCCCCTCGAGCCGATCGTGATGATGATGACGCCGATACACCCACACCTACTATTTAGGTATAGGTACGCGCCATACGGTGTAAAAGTACAAAAATATACATATAGCGCGCGCCATCTGCCCTCTCTGACTTTCTAAAAACCCATCAACATACACCTATACCTACTCTGTTACACCCGCGTGATGCGTTTGAAAAGTGTGCCAAAAGCGAGGGGTGCAAGGGGTGAGAGAGATGAAAGGTATAGGTATTCAACGGGATAAGGGTGATAAGTAGCTCCATAAAAGATACGGGGGTGCGTTGGAAACTTTTTTTTTTTTTCATACCCGGCACGTGGCTACATACGGGGCCATGCTGCTATAAGTGTCTCCTCAACGATATCTGTCGTACGATGCAAATGGGGGCTGGTTCTGGCTAATAGCTTGGAAATGAGTAGAGTTTGGCAGTTGCCGCAGGAAAAAAAAAAAAAAAAAAAAAAAAGTTGATTCTCTTCGTGTTTGCAGAACGACCTTCACTGCGTACCAACTGGAGGAGCTGGAGCGGGCGTTTGAGCGCGCCCCCTACCCGGACGTCTTCGCCCGCGAGGAGCTCGCCCTGAAACTCGCGCTCTCGGAGTCCCGGGTGCAGGTCTGGTTCCAGAACCGCCGCGCCAAGTGGCGCAAGCGCGAGCCGCCCCGCAAAACCGCGGGCTACATGTCGGCCGGCTCGGCGGCCAGTCCCGGCGGCCTTGCGGCCGGCTTCAACAGCCTCAACACCGGCCTCAACCCCTTCGCCGGCTCCGCCGGCACGGCAGCGCCCCCCGACGCCTGGGCCTACTCCCCGGCCTACGACCTCGCGCCCCACCTCAACCTCCTCAGTCCATCCGGCTCGCCGTACTCCACGGGGGCCTTTGGTGGCGCCGGGCCGGCCGGCAGTGCCGGCAACAATGGCTCCGCGGCGGCGGCGGCGGCGGCGGCGGCTGCAGCCTACTCGTACGCCACGATGCTGCCCCAGGCGCACGACGGCTCGTTATTCGCCGCACCGCCGGCGGGTAACGCGATGCGCGTGCACCACCACCACCAGCAGCAGCAGGACTACATGAGCGCCAGTAACAGTCCGCCACCGGGGCCGCCGTCGCAGCAGCAGCCGCCACCGCCAGGGGGACTCGGTGGCAGGCCCGATTACCAGACCATGGTGGCCGCGCACTCGCCACCCACCCACATGTCGGCCCCGGAGGACGAGCACCACGCGGTGAGTGACACCTCGCGCGACATTGCGATGTATGCTTATTCGTACCGGGGTTTCGGCGTGTGTTGGGTACGTCAATTGACATTCCAAGCAACGCCCGAGGGAGCGTTTTTCCCCTGATTGGGTGGGTACCGATGTCGAACAGCCCTAATTGCCCTAGAAACCTGATTCATAGCTGCCAAGTGTTTTTCCGAGCGCGTATCTTTTTCAAGGGTGAAGATATATCATAAAGTTCTGCACCGCATCGTACAAAGACCCTATTTCGAATTCGTCTTTTCACGATTTTGAATGTTTTGAAAGACTCGGATGGACGTTGTACTTGATGATGCGTAGACCGATCTCTAACCGATCGTCCGTGTATTTTATTTGTAGGGTAAACTGGACTACGTGGGATCGCTGAGCCCATCGGACAAGTACGGGCAGCACGAGGCGAACGAGTACTCCCAGCAGCAGCAGCAGCAGGCCCTTCAAGAGCAGCACAAAAACGACTACGTGGGCATGCACTCGCCGACGAGCGCGAGGCAAGGCCTCAAGGAACAACAGACGATCGTGAAAACGGAGCCGGGCAGCCAGCAGCATCAGCAAAACTACGTGCAGCTTCCGCCTTTTCTGAATTGACGCGGACCCTCGTTCTCGAAGGGTTCGGCTCATCTTACCACAGATTCCATCACAGCAACGGCTGACCGTTCGCTTGTATCCTCCGCGTCGTTGTCGCGCTTCTTTGATTCTTTGTACTGTGATGATCGCGATTTGCCGGTGTACGGGTAGAACTTTTTTTTTTTTGTTTTTTGTTTTTTGCTCCAGTATTCGGACACGCTAGTCGCGTCGTGATTATTGGAGCAGGGACTTTCCATCTTATTTTCTTTGTTTTTGCAAGCAACACCGACGCTTCGGACGGAAAATATCGAGGTCTTGAAAAAAAAAAAGAAAGAAAAACAAATTTGAATGTATATCTTGAAAAAAAGGAAATTTTACTGAAAAAAAAGTTTTTTACGGGGTTGAGAGTGAAAAAATGATGTTCTCTGTCTGCGACGTTAATGATTCATGAATATGAATCAAAATAATTTTGTACATAATTTTTTTTTCAACCGATGTCGGCTCGGAATAGTTTATTATGTATAGGCTATAAGTAAATGTGTGCGTGGAAGAGAAACTTTAATGTTTGGTTAAATTTTTCTTTTTTATTTGTCAAAATTGATTCTGCAATCATTTTTTCCGATTTTGTCCAATACCTATGTTTGCGATATTCGCATTTTTTGCTTTTAAGTGTAAAAAAACCATAATTTAGTGTTTAATTGTAGTTAAAAGTTAAGTTTGCGATTTGAGTGGAGATGTCATGTGTAGTATGATTGTCTTTTTGATGAGATTTTTGTCACCAAGTAATATTAAATAAAGGGTAAGGAAAATCATCTTAAGCATCGACTTATGATTTTTAAGCCTAAGGAGGTCAAGTGTCATATTTATATATTTTTTCACGAACGAACTATTTGCCCACGAGAGAAAAATTTACTGTAAAGCTAAAACTAAAGTTGTTTATAACAAAAATTTTTACTACAATTATATATTTAATCAATGTTTTTAAAAATGCGGATGAACAGTATTGCTGTATTTTTCTTGCATGAATGTTAATACAGAATACGATACAGAAAAAAATAAAAAATAAAAACGTGTTAATTAACTATCTAGAAACGTTTCGCTTGTTTTTAGAAGATTTAAATGCAAGCTACAGTTTACAGTTGACGCATAGTTGATGTATTTTTATGTTTTATCTTACGATGTGTATTTTAATTTTGCGTGCCTCAAGATTGTTACTGATGTACATATGCATCATTAAACGAATGTTTTTCAAACTCGTTGATATAATCATTATGTGAAAAATAATCGTATAAATTATGAGAAAAAAAGGTTTTTTCAAAAAAAAAAAAAATAAATAAATAATGAATAAATAAAATAAAAATAAAAAATATCAACAAAAGTGACTTTCTTGATTTTATAACAATTAAAAATTTATTGTATGAAAAATCAATAATTTTAAAAAAATCTGTACAAAAAATAATCTATTTTTCTTCGTTTTCTTCCTCTTGATGAGCCTCTTCTTCGAGACTTTCCGCGTATTTGTCAGGTGTTAAAACGGCATTACCGGTAAAGTGGTTTGCTGAGTCTACTTTATACAAGCACATTGACAGGTTGTGCTGAGGCGACAGATTACTGTATTCTGGATCCTTCAATACCTCTTCTCGTGCAGCTTTTAGATCGGTTCTACAAATGTAGTGTTGGAGTTTTACTATATAGTCAAGTTTATTCTTAAAAACATTTAAATTCTTATTACTTACACACTGTATAAAATTGCATAAATGTGTTTACATATTACATCTTTGGGATACACTTCCTTCAAATAAGATAAAGTTTCATTTATTTGTAACAGTGAAACGCATAGGTGATGCGGATGCCTTTTCAATCCTTTATACAATTCTTCGCTATCTTTATTAAAGTGCAGTTTCAGAAAGCTTGTTATACTAAGCTTCTTCAATTTTCTAGTAGTCACTAGTCTAAAAAAAAGACAAAAAATTATGGTTTTCATCATCTCATTGGCATTTAGTGTCGAATAATAAAGAAGTATTTTTAACTAACTGGTCCAAATAATTGTGAAATGTGGTGAGTGAATGTATGCTTGCATATTTAATGTTTTGTTCTTGAAGGTATTTAATGCGAGGCAAAGAAATCTGATAATCCCTGACCAATAGTAAAAATCTTGGATGTTTCTTGTAAACCAAGGTGAATGGATTTTTCATCAAAGTTTCCATTCTACCCATAAATTCAGTGGAGCTTAGGTTAAAAACTTCAGGGGCACTTTGAATCATCTGTCCTGTGATTCCGTGTTTGTTCATGTACGTTATAAGACTATTAAGTTCACCTATATCATAGTTGATCACTTTAGGGCATCTTGAAATTACTTTATACACATCCAACTCTTTGAAATTATTTTCAAGTGCATTTATGACCTTCAATCCATGATCTGGATGATGCGCTAATAACCAGCCAAAATGTCTCAACACCTGAAAAATTTTTTACAGACAGCAGTACTTGATTATTTATCTTGGCAGTTTGTAAATATTCAATGCTACAAACATTACTTACTAAGACCTTAGACAAGTTATAGTCTTTTTGAATTAATATTAGTAACCTTTGCAACAATCTGAAACTATTGTACACTGTTGGCATAAACTTTTTGGTTGATACTCGTCTGACTTCTTCTGGTGTCAAACCGAGTTCCTCCTTCACGTAATAATTGAAGCACTCGCTATAATACGTTTTCATGGTCATGTTTTCATCCAAATGGTTTAAAGCTTTACAGTCGATTTTTGAACTTTGGGCTGTAGATAAAAGTCTTTCAGCTATATTGACATTAGCAGCCAATCCTAAACTTGCTTTGTACAAAGGGACTGCCAAATACAATTGATTAACAAAGCTAAAATGGACAATAATAGTCATGAGAGCGTAAAAGAGAATACATTGTGATACCAATTTGCAACATACTTCACGATTTGTCCTGTTGTTATTTTCTCCACACCTAATTCTTGTAACAACAGTATTTTTTTTTCAACATTCCACTGTGTTTCATTGAAAACCAATTTGTTACTCTGTATATTACTCATATCAATGTGATACTTCTAAAATACATTTTTTTATCTCAGACTAGTAGTCAATGGCAGAAAACATGAATACCTATAGATATTGAAAGAAGGAATGAATAAAAAAAAAACAGTACCTCCAAGATCGCTTTAATGGCCTTGAAATTTTCTTGACTAGACACTATCCTCATCTGCCTATTCCTTGTATGATTTGAATATTTCTCAAACATTATACTGGTTTTCATTTCCTCAAAATTCGACGCATAATCGTGCATTTTGTATGTCTTGGGTGCCATTTGTACCATAGTGCACATGGAGCACCGGCTCAACGAGAAAAGTTTTAGCATTTTTTTGTTGTTCGTTTTTTTTATTCAGTTTATTTGTCAACGACAACGAGTGCTTGCTCGTATAATCATTACGTTTAAAATTACAAAATGTTGTATGTTTTAGAATTTACACTTTCCACTGCTATATGACAATCTTTTCATACTTTGATGTTTTAATAGAAAAAAGAATTTAACGATAGATTTTTAATGTTTGTTTACAGCAAATTCAGTTGTACACAACGTACACTTTACGTATTGTCTAAGCGTTTGAGGTTAGATTTATAAGTAAATAAATGTCGTCTGCACGTGTATACCTCAACTCTCGCAGCTTTCAAAATTCACCACTCACATGCAAATACATAGAGAATTGGCGCTTGACAAAAGTACACTGTGGTCACTGCGCGGTGTTCTTAAAACCTATCAGCGCCATCTAGCGAGACTGACTCCGAACTTAAATAAAATAGTTACGTAGGTCGTGGTTCGTGGTAACGCCGCATGGTCGGACGGCGCTAGCAGCGGCTGCAGCCAGCAATGCCATCATTTGCCGAAAAAATAATGTAACGGACTGTACTGTACTTAAGTAGATAAAATAGAAACCGTCTGCTTTGCAACAATTGCAACTTGTGTGCGCGCTTTTGTGCACTGAGCAGACTCGTACGTGCGTTTTTGTGCACTCATACTTGTTCTTGTGCGTATACTTATGCGTTTTTATGCAGATGTCGTGACCGGACTTTCGTAAAAAAGTGCTGTGTAAACCAAATAAATAACTGCTCGTACTTGGGTACTTGTCAACTTTCCCGCCAGTAAGCACGCGTACACAGGAGTATCGGCAACGTCGCTCGTGTGTATTTTTTATTGTATAGTCTCTCCCCCCCACACACATAGCGGAAGGCCGTTGTTGTTGTCTGCGAGAGTCTACGTCTATTGGTGCGTTTTGACAACATTGCGCGTAATCGTAAAAAAGGGGCGCGGGCCGCGAGGGGGGTTCAGTACAACATGTTAGTATAGTACGGCAGTAGGAGTGTGCATAAACAGAGCAAAGGCCGCTCTTTCTTCACAAATTAAAAAAAAAAAGTTTTATAATTCGTAGCTCTGTGCAGCGTACATGCGTTAAACATACAATCAACGTATAAAGTAAAAGACGGACAGGACAGAAGAGAAAGAGAAGGTGCAAATGCAAGAGACTGCACCACCAACTGCTGTACATTACGGTGGATGTGCTCGAGAGAGAGAGAGAGAGAGAGCTCGAGCGCCAACAGCAGCCCAATAAGTTGTCCTCGGGAGAGTGAATTATGTTATCAGCATTAACAACGCGTACGAGGGGATATCGTAAGCGAGAACACATAGACAAACATTGCCGGTCGGTTGAGATTGCGGGATAACGTCGACGACGAGATTATGTGATTACTTTACCTTTTTCTCTCCCTTTTTTTTTTTTTTTTGTTTTTATGACGTGCGTCTTCTAAACATACAGGAGAGGAGAGAGCTGGCATCAGCTTCAGCGGTTCAATTCACCGAGTGTTGTGTAAACAATTCAGCGACGATAAGAAGAATAATGTCGCAGTCGATTTTTGACGCGCTGTCCGGTGAGTTTTGTCTTTTTTTTGCTGATGTGTGAAGGCTCCCTTGCGATCGTCGTTGCTCTATTGATGTCGATTTAAGGGGTTTTTTGTTTTGGAGGGAACATGGAGGTGGAATTGCATCTGTGGGTGTGCGTTGTGTGTATGTATATACGTATATATAACTCGCGCGATATATCGGGCATCGAGAAGTTTAGAGTGCATTTGGTGTGTAAGTACTCGCGTTCTGTTTGATTGATTACGAGTTACAAGATAAAAATGTCGATGAGTTTGCATTTGTGTACCTACATTTTCGCATGCAATGTCGTAGTAGTAGTTTTTTTTTATTTTTTTACTTGAAGGTTAGGGTTTAACGTTATTGTAATTGTATGTTTACCACCAAAGGAGTCTCTCTAGACAGCTCGAGCGTGCAGTCCCTTTTGGAGTCTCAGACCTTGATAAATGAAGTTGAGCATTCAGGTATGCATTATTTACATCTTTGTTGGAAGTATTGGTTAACTGCCCAGGTTTTTGTAATGAATAATCTTTTTTTTTCAGCATTCGATCAAGATGAGGAGGATATATTCCAGTGTGGAAAGTGCAAAACACAATTCAACTCTCTGCACATGTTTGTTCTGCACAAGCGAGAGCACACAAGTACAAAGCTTCAAGAGCAGACCGTTGACTTGAGTCAGTATCTGGTCAGCAATGACAGCCCTATTGTTCAGACTGATGACAACTGTCAGGATGCTACCGATTATGATGATTTTGACTCGAGCCATGAGCTTGGTGACTCCATTATTTTACAGGAGAATGATATTTTATTTAGGTAAGTTGTTGTGAAAAGAGTGCCGTTTATTTAAAAATGCAGATGGTATAGTATATGTTCATTAAGTAACAATTTTAACTATCACAGCATGGATGGTGCCAGTTACTTAACTTCCGATTCGAGCTTTAGTGTACCAATAATTTTAAGCACCGATGATCTAGAATCTTTCGACAACACGTCTATTATAGCAGGAACTGATGATAATCTCTTAAATGAAGAAGTCAGTGAGATGCAAGCTTTAGAAAATGACATTAAACATAATCAGAGCTTAGACGACGATAGCAATGGTCAAGAAGCAATAAGTCTAGGTTCCCCAAAGGATGTTAAACCAGCTGAAGACATCAAAAAAGAGAGTCAGTTGGGTCAAATACAGAATTTTAAGGTATTTTTAATTTCGCTGTGTAATCATGGTAGTGTATTTCAAACATTCTGCTGGATCTTGAAAATGTTTTTTTTTTTTTTTAGTACAAGTGCAGCTACTGTCACAAGCAATTTGCCAAAAAGTTTTATTGGCAGCAACATGAAAGATCTCATACAGGCGAAAAGCCATATCAATGTGTAGTCTGTGGTCGTCCCTTTGCTCAAAAGTCCAACGTAAAAAAACACATGTCATCGCATAAAGTATGGCCAGGCACGGCGATTCATTCACTACCACCAGAAGTATGCAAATTTCCTGTTTGTACATATTTATTTCATGGCCCAAATTTTTAATCAATTATAATTTCCTATCGTAGGCACCGGTCGACGGCAGCATCGAGCGTTCATACCATTGCCAATTTTGTAAAGAGATCTTCGATTCATACAAGGCGCTCAAAAATCATCTGATCGTTTCACACCTCACTCTCAAAGTATACAAATGCGTTCAATACGGCTGTGGCTCCATGTTTGCCGAATTAGACGACTTCCTTGAGCACACTCGCAGCCACAAGCGTTCCGAGTACCGCTGTCACGTGTGTGGTGACACTTTTAACACTTTGTCTGATCTCGGCCTCCACCAATACACGCACTCCGTCCAAAAGCAAAAAACCACTGAGAAGTAAGTCTTATTATATCCATAAGCGACTGCATTGAATCTTTGAACTTATTTTTTGTAATATTCTAAAAATGGATTGACAGGTACTATTGTTGCTCGGTGTGTAAATCATCCTTTTCCAATCTTGAAGCGCTACAGCATCACACAGAGACGACGACCCATGATTACGGGTGTCCCCATTGCGGCAAGAGTTTCTTGATCGAGAGGTTTTTACGTCGGCATCTTAAAACTCATACGTCTTTTGCACGCTTTGCTTGTGAGGACTGTGGCAAAGCTTTTAAAACTGAGCAATACCTTGCCAATCACAAACTTATTCATAGTGACGAGACGCCCTTCCACTGCCCAGTAAGTTTTAAAATGGTAAATACGATTTCGTTGATTTTTCACAATAAACACAATCCAACGTGTCTACAGCATTGTCCAGCACGTTTTAAGCGGAAAGACCGACTAGGTCGGCACATGCTCATCCACGATCTAAGCAAACGGCTCAAGTGTCCGTTCCGCTCCTATCTTGGGTGCATGAGCGAGTTCTCAAGACCGGACAAACTCAAGCGCCATTTGCTCACCCACAATAACGTTAAGCGATTTAGTTGTAACATATGCAACCGGCACTTTCACCGAGCTCAGGCGCTCAAGCATCACGAGATCAACAAGCACAGTCTGAAATGTGACGTGTGCTCGCATGTAAGTTGATTTGTAACACAATACAACATCGCGGAAGCACAATGTCTTATATGTTCTTATTTACGAGAGCAAAAAATTAACTTTGTGTTGCAGATATTTAGATCTAAAGAGCAACTTGTGAGTCATAATTGCGAGCAGTCCAGTGAACTGAGGAAGCACACAAGTTCTCAGCTACCAAAGAAAGCCTCTGGTACCTTCAAACCGCGAAGACCAACTCCAAAAAGACAACTTTCTTCTAAAACTAGTTCTACTACATCAAGTCCTTGTGATAAAGAGAAGATCAAGGCTGAGGATGTACAAATGCAGGTATGTTGGTTAAATGATTGTAAATTCAACATACATGCCTTGTTTCATTCGATTAATTGTGAAAATGTGTTATAGAACATTGTTACGGTGGAGACTTTAATAGTCAATCATCAAGAAAACGATTTTGATGCAAAGATAGAAAATTTGGATCTTGATCTCGATCTCAGCAGTGAGATTCCATTAAGAATAGATCCTCTGAGAATTGATCCTCTAAGGAGTGATTAAACAAATTATAATTAAGAATTTCGTTTTCCAAGGATATTAAGGGAAAACACGAAATTGAAACGATTTTTAGATAATGTGACTGTCTTGAGCAGACGATAAAACTTGCATTTTTTTAAGAACTGTAGCATTACGGTATTTTGTAGTTTACGTATCTGTGATAATTGTATTATAAAATTTAACTGTATAAGTAACTTATACATTTTTGTGTGTGTACTTTTAGAATTTATTATAATGAACTTAAATGGATGAAGTAATAAATCAGCAATTTTTTCATTTGTAAATTTTATTTCCTTCTAATTCAAATTACCATTCAACTTATTGCAGATTCCGTTATATTTTTTATATATATGCATAATCAACATTTAAGAAAACCTTGGTTTTCGAACCTCAGAATTTCACAATTTTGACAACAGAAAAGAATAGGTAGAATTAAATTTAATCACAAACACATAGTTCTTCATATCACGTTTGGCTTTTAGTTACATTCAATTAGTAGAGACAAAAACAAAGAAGTTCACTAGCGTTAAGCTCGTAATGGTATAACACAATAACTACGAGCACATTCTTGTCATGACAATTCACAGCTATTTCGATTAAAATTTTTGAGATTATTGGATGACGCTCATTGTATTGCAAATATGGTTTTCAAAAATTTTTCATTACAGTAGTTTAGAATAAATTTTTCAAAGATTGTATTTACCTTTGCAAGGTCTATCCTTAAAATATGTAATGTTTTTCTTTATCTTAATCTATTCATAACAATAACAATTACAGCATTTGAAATTTCTTGAAAACTTACGTTTCAAAAAGATTTCTGTTTAAAAACTTTTTAATGTCTTACGTAATTTTAGAACGAATTCTTGGTGGACGATTCCTAAGGCAATTACTGACGAATTGCGCTTCGATTTACAATTAAATTTTTTTGTATACATCTTGCTGACCACTTAAAATTATCAGATATTCATCATATACACAGCAGTTGATTCTCGAACGTCACCCTTTACAACGAACACCATCTATTTATTGTAATTTTTTTTTTTTTTTTTCAAAAAGTTATCTAAACCTATTTATAAACTATTTTGCAAGTTTACTAAAGTACAAGTGTTAAGTTGCAGAGAGATTCAACCATTCGCCAAGTGCTTCTAATAACTACATTTTTTTTGTATTCAGATAATTTACTGTTTTCTACATCTTGCTCAACAGTGAGATAAATTTTCATAGAAAATATTAATTTTCTTAAAAATTAACAACATTTTTCAGTCAACAGAACGGTGCATCATATAAATTCTGTAAATAAATGCTTGATAAATATGTATGTAGGAAAGTATCAGATGGTTTAGTCTAGATTTTCCCCTTAAAGTTATCTAAGTTCACGTAAAAAAATTACCAAATTAACTTTTCAAGTCTTTAAAAGCTATCTATCAGACTATGCTATCTGAATACATCGTAGTGCAATCACAATTATGAATTTAATTAAACTACTTTCACATTCATGAAAAAGTGACGATTCTTTTTATTAATTGATAAAATAAAAAGGACAAAGACTGCCCATCCAAGTAATCACTTCACTGGACGAAATAAGAAAGCCATTTAGTAAACATTATCAAATGTTTCATTCTATACAAGACATACAGCTAAAAAAAAAAAGATAACTGTTACTATTCCATTAGATTAATTTCAGCTTGAATAATGCATTTGGAATGATTGTTTTTTTTTCTTAACTGGCACGTAACAGTGTTTACACTACTCTGCATAAACGTAGTTGGCACATTTGAGACCTCCTTTCAATAGGCGTTGCTTGATAAAATATTTACGTCATTAAATTATAGATTTCATGTCTTAACAGTACTTTCAATTGTTTGTTCTTTTATTTTTCAATAATGTATCGCCACTTTTTTCTGATGAGGTTTTTTTTTCTTCAAAATTTCTGCAACATTTTTACAAAAAACAATCATGTTTTGGAATAGTGATCCCATCTTGATGTCACCTAGTGCTTTCTAAGTTTTTATACTTCCCCTTCTCATTTATAGGTATTCTATAACTTTGACTGCCATTTTTTCCCTTAACATAAACTACCTTGTATGGAGATAACATACTTACAATCTAAAATCCTAGCTTTTTACATTAATTCATGTGTACACTCTTGGATAAAAATACCAAATTTTGGTAAAACATAACACTCATCAGTAATATATCCCTATTGCCTATTTTTTCCAATTATACCAAGTATACACATGTGATTCTAGGTATGTAGGGTGCTCTGTACAAAGGCACCTCTTGCTTATCTGAAGGAAAATCACATTGCATATGTACAAAATGCATATACATGGCGACCTTACAAATTTTTTCGACTGCATTTGACCATTGCTCAGTAGTGAGAAAGAAAAATAATTAATAGTATGACAAATTTAATATTTCACTGCCTTTGGTGTAGGAAAGGAGATTTTCCGTCACTTTGCTTGTGTTTCGGAAAATTTGATTTTGCAATGACGATTACACATACACATAATGTACATTACGACCTTTTACACGAAAAAATTTAATGGAAAGTTCATTGATGATTTAGTAGATCTTTTTATTCAGTCTCCAAGCAAGTCAAGCTTATTGTTTTTTACAATAACCATTGTAACTCGTGTACCAGAAAAGGTACCCCGAATTCGGGTAACACATCAGACATATTACTTTCATTTGATTTACATTTTTTTCACAATTTGACAGCAAAGACTAGGTTTTCCCTGAACGAGACCCTTCACAAATGTTTTAAAAACTATTTTAACGCATACTAAATATTGTCCAAAATAATCTAGATTAAAAAATTTATTCAAGTTATTATACATGAATTTCTCGATAAAGACAATTTGTTCAAAATGACTGTAAATTGTTCTTACAAAAATGAGTTTTGTAATCTCGTGTGATTGATTTAAACTTGAGATCACTATTAGTGCTGATAAATCGTACTCCCCAACTTTATATGTATTTTTTTTTGTTTCTCTCCCTCTTGTGGACTCAAACCCGTTTGTAATATTTAAATGCACCTAAATTTATATCAAAATTTTAAAGGCAAAGGTTTAGACATCATACATGTCAGTGTTAGGTAAAATAAATTTTTCATCGCTCGAAAATACGTCTATTGCTCCTAAAAATTTTATTCTACCTAAAACACTAAATTTTCTAGAAATATTTGTTTGTGTTACAAATAACGTTGGCAGACTTTACTGGATTTTCTGTCTTTAAAAAAATGCGTACATAAACCATAAAGTTTGCATTTTTGTCATTACAAAACATGTTACGATATACTTCAATTGTCTGGAAAACGTTACGGGAAGATGAATTTAAACAATTTTATTTCCTTTATTGTGTATAGTTGAAATATAAATTTAGTTTTTTTTTTTTTTTTTTCATAAAACTTCCCATTTACTACCACTGTAATGTTTGATTCTAAAAAATGTATTCAATACGTCAAATTGCCAATTATAATGAAAGCAATTTTTTGACAACATTTGTTGAAATATCACTTTCATGGAAAAACTTTGCATTACGAAAATTTCGTAGTCACTAGCGGAGGAAGTAAAAGAAAACCAAATCATCCATCAACAATGAAAGTGATCAATGGTTGTACTATTTTACTTCGAGAAGAGAACTAAAACGTTCACTTGTAGACCTCAAAAAATAACAGAAACAAAATAAAACAACCTAGTTACCTAAACAGTTAAGACATATTTTTTCGCATTCACGCTTATGTACAATTTCTCTCCTTAAACTTACGAAGAAAATTATTATAATTATTATTTTTATTAACGAACATTTTTCATGGCATTGCGTGCTCTTCAAAATTATGTTTGTTTAGTTTTGACGCGACTAGAAGGTACGACCTTTAGCCTCTGGTACTGATATAACCATCTGGTTCCTTAAAGGGTCTTTTTGCTGTCTTCGGCTTCAGCTTCGACTGCCATGACATCTTCAGCCACGATTCCTGTAACAGACAAATTTTTTTTTATTTTCTTGCTTACGTACTTAACGTAGGATTTTGTTAAAAATTATATAATTATTTATCTCATAGGGACACACAATTAATAATGTGATAAAAAATTAATAAAAACCCGCTGTTCTCGAATACGATTACAACTATTAGCACAAAAAAAAAAAAATTTTCCTAGCAAACAAAAAAAAAGGAGGATTTTTAGTATCATATCCTACCTGCCGAAGTGGAATCTGGGCGATTCTTCTCTGGTTGTCCAGATTGGTTTTTCTTATCCGTCTGAAAGTAACGTGCAAAATACAGAAAAGAACCACCATATTATAATAGTCAATCTTCTCTTGTTAGTTACACAAAGAAAATTCAAAAAAACATTTAGTACGTTGAAATGAACGTTGTGCAGAATAGATTTTTTTTTTTCAAACTTAAAGTCATGAATAATGAACCAATGATCTCATGATTGAATTCTCAAAAAGAGAACCACACAATCGCCTCTGAATGAAAAATAAACGAAAAACACTTTTTAAAATCCAAACCAAACTAGTAATAAGTTGCTTTCTTTTCAAAAAACAAATCTATTCTGCTTAGGAACTTTTGATAAACAACCGCAGCCGTACCGCAAAGTACTGATGCCACAAAACACAGCCGTAGACACACATTACAGAGACTAGAGACTGGCACAGGAGCCAGAGAGTTATATTGAGGGCCTGCGTCCTCTCGAACAGTTCGGCGCCGTGTCTGATGCAGAGCAACGCCTCCGTTACCATTATCGCTCCATACACCCAACATTGCGTTCCCACTCGACTGCACGATGGATCAGTCACGTACAAATAATATTGCCTGAAACACCCATGCACAATCGATTTTTATTTTTAGCACTGCAGTAAAAGAACGAAGAACTTTTTTTCTAAACGCCATTATATATTTCCGAGTTCTTTTTTTTTTCTTCAAGCCAGTGCATTTATACAACTGCAGGTATTTCGTTTTTATTGTAGCGTTCGATACTTGAATATATAGAGTGAATATTTTATCTGGCTAAAAAATACTTGGGTAACGATTGTTCAAAGAGTTCGCACATCAATTAAGCGAAGTATGTTATGTCGTTGTAAAATGTAAATTTAGTAAATATTGATTTTTAAAACATTACGTTAAGATTCGTCTTCACAGAAAATTGAGTAAAAAATTTAGCAAAATTTAGCATTGCTTCCAATATCCTGACCCTCGAAATTCAGCCAAATGAGAAAAGATAACAATCAATTAGAAAAAGTTGCACACCTGACGGACGGGGCGACAATGACTCCAATCAAGCATAGTCTTGACACAACGAACGGATGTGAGGGCGGAAACTCGTAGACGTGTTTCAAAAAGAACGTATTCAACTCGGACACCTGCCAGAATATAACCAGCTGACAGAGAGCCACGAATCTCATGTGAGTACAGGTGGGATCCAGCCACCTGACCGACGTCCAGCTACCGGGTGTGAACTGCATGACGACCCTCTTTAACTTTCCTGTCGTGCTCTCGATGTCGCGAATGCTGACCCATTTGTACTCCCTCATCTCGAGCATCTGGCATATCTTAAGGCCCACCCAGATACCCAGGCCGTTGCAGACTAGCACGTCGAGAACGATGGCGTCCCACCAGCATTCGGCAAAGTTCGGCAGCAGATGAGCGAACGCGATCTCCGTTACCTCCCACATGACGCTTATGGCCCAGAGAATGCCGAGGTGACGAATAAGGATAGCCTTGAATGTCCAGCCAAGAAAGTGAGCCAGCGCAAAAACGTCCAAGTGGTTCCAGAGCTTCTCGACGTTGATGTCGGAACAATTGACGCCGTACTCCTTGTCCATGTCGATATGGAACGAGTGGAGGCTTGGATCGATCCAGACGAAGATTTTTCTCACAGTTTCGTAATTTTGGAACAGCATGAACAGCAGAAATATCTCGTACAGAATGCTACAGCCGAATACTATTCGCCATAGTGCAGGATGAGGTCGCGTGAATGGTCCGTTTGGGAATGTCAGTATTGAGATTATCATGAAAAAGAAGACGACGCACAGAACGCCCGCCCTCAGGTTATCCTCCACGTTGGAACAGTCTCTGTTGGGGAGAAAAAAGAAAAATTAAGTTCACCATTCCAATGACAAGATAACATCAATATATTTTTAACAGCAACCAACCGGCGGTTTGAGTTTTACCATTTTCTGAATCATCTACTTGATAGTTTAATTATAACAATGATCCACATTTATGACAATTTACACTCATTGCTCAATTAGAAACAAAGAAAAGTTTTATTTTTCGTAAATTATTGGAAATTATTTAATTAATCAAATAATCGAACAGGGACAATTTGTTTTGTACGTTGAGTGAATAAAAATAATGTATGTATGGTATTATGCAACTGTAAGAATGGCACGGAGATAAACTCAATGACCTGCTACAGCCCATCAATCATTTAGGAAAAGTTGAAAAAGTGTGCCGCTTTTTTAAATATAGCCCATACCCTCAATGTTAAGATCAGCACACTTGGCACCCAACTTGCATTGCATACCTGACAAAGGCAAAGTAGACAATTGCCACTATCATGATCACCAGCAGAGTGATGGTGTGTGGCTTGTAGAAGAACTCAATGGATATGTCTTCCACTGGCCTTTCATTGATATTTGGAAAACTATCTGTTCCAGACCGTAATCTGTGCCCATCGCTACTGTAGCCATCTTCCCCTGGGTTTATCTCCTCACAATGGGAACAGGCTGACTTTCTACACTTGGGATGCTCTTCGTTTTCACTCGTCATTTTTCTGGATTTCTGGTCTTGCTTTAATTAAAAAAAAGCATATGATCAGGGTAGTTTAAACTTGAACACGAGAATTCATCACTACTTAACGTGAATTACAATATTCATTCATTCTGTTATGCCAGTCTAAAGACTTGCAAGTACTTAATAAATATGTAAACAAACGTAAATTACAAACAAGCTAGAAAAATTAAAACAAAACTAATGCAGTTTAAAACTACAATAATAATAAAAAAATCCACTACGATGGAAGTAAAAAGTATTAATGCGTAACCAACATTTAAGCAAATCAATAATGTACTTAGAAGGGTTTTTCACCAAGCAATTAACTCGACAATGCACTAGTATACATTCAAATTAGGGAGAAGAAAAAAAAAAAAAATCAATACTTATACTCGGGGAGAAAGCATTAATTACAGCGGACAAAGGCTCACCTCGTGCATCAAAAAAATCTCCAGGTCCTCGCTGTCGTCGTCGTGGTATATAATATCTCTTTTGCTTACAAGCAAAAGCAACAATACGAACGTCGGCACATTTCACGCTAAGTATAATAATTTGATTAATATAACACGCTAGCTACAATAAGTAAGTACAACGTGTGTGTGTTTTTTGTATACGTGCATAACTCTCGGCTTTTGCGCGCTAAAAGACAATGCAATATTGCAATGCATCCACGCGGTGGACCGTGGACGGAGAGAAGTATATTTGTAATGATTAATGATGATATAATATAACAGATTGGAGGTGTGCTTTTGCGCAAAGCAAACACGCATCCGAACCGATCAGCCAATGGCGAACGAGAGAGTTACGGAGCAATCGATCATTGGCTGAATTTCAATTTACATCCAACCAATTACCAATCGGTCGTGAAAATCCACCTTTAGACTTTTTTTTTTATATCGTTACATGTAAACCAACGAGGCGATCATTTTGTGGATTCACTTTTTTGGGGAAGACTTTTGCAACATACCTACAATTTCAATTTCACGTGATTGCCTATAGGTAAATAAGGTAACCCTCTATTTCAATAGTGAGTACTTGAACACAGAATTGAGAAATATAATTTACTTGAAAAAGTCCCTTAATTAATTAACTTTTGAGATTAATTTTTTTTTTCTTTAAGATCTATTCGAGCTACTTTGTATTTGTTTCTCCTCGACATGGTGTTACTTAAATGATGTTTTTCTAAATTATTGTAGAAATATTAACGTTTGATATTTACATTTTCGAGGTCATAGACTTTTCCACGCAGACATCGACGTGTGATTTTCTAAAACGAAAATGAAAGAAGACAATCGGACACTTTGGAGAGACGGATATGTTCGAGAGGAATACTTGTAAAAGCCTACGCATTTAGGAGCAATAAAGTTGTACACAATGCCGTACTCGCACGTGTGTGAATCAGCGCTTTTTGTTCACGGGAACTCGTTCGAAAACTAAAGAATCTGCATGAGCTTTACCGTTACGATAAAACGGACCTCCTCAGTATCGTGATGTGTTTACCTGCAAGTTTGGTGACATTCTTGGAAATAATATATTTGAGGAGTTGTTTTAAAAAAACAAGAGTGTGTGATATTACATTTTTTTTTCGTTCAATAACAATCGATGAGCCGATCAAGCTGTGCATGGAGCGCTATTGTCTGGTTTATCAAGAGCTTCCTTGAGAAGACAAAAGCTTTTATTTAGCTTTTGGTGCGATCGATCCTCAGATCTTGGGACAAAGCGGGTGACGCATTTCGTGCAGAGTTCCGTATATTTACGTGTTGCTCACTTTAAGCGCAATCAATCGGTCATTGGAATCAATTTTTCTGGTTGATAACGATTTCTTTTTTTTTTTTTTTTTTTGTCAAATTATACACATGACTTGCAGCCAAGATGTAATTACCTTATCGTTGAATGTGCAAGGATATTAAAAAATCGCCGAAACTACTTATTCATGTATTCCACAGATTCATGAATCTTCAAAAAATATACCGATTTTCCATATGTACATAGTCAAGGAAAAGTAAAACATTTGCATATTTGCGGTAAAATTCACAATAAAATTTGTTAACAGTGGCTGAAAACACAGCTATTTACACAGTACATGATACTACGTGCTTTTATGTATTATGTGCGTACGTTTAAGAATAAATTTTGTGGATCAATGACAATTTCACGATAATTTTACTTGAAAATGGCTCCCTTATACATATAACTTATAACTGATGAAATGTATTTGCCAATCCACAAAAATACAATTGCCTAAGCTTTCTCTAACTCAAATGATCATCATCCTATCACCATTAATATAAACCAATCGATTCTCGAGTTTTGCGCTAACAATTTTTAAAAAACGCAAAAAAAAAAAAATTTAATCTTCCTTCGTAAACAGTTGAATTTTTAAGTGTGACGGCCACCCTCGCGTAACGATTGGGGGACATTTGGGACCATATGATTGGGACGAACGCACCGCGATCTTCCCGAAAATAGAATTGCACGAAAAAAGGGGGAGTAGGGTGTCGAGTTTACAGGGGAGGGGGGAGCAACCAGTTGTTGCTGATGATAGCGCGCAGACCGGCACGACGGCTACCACATCAGGCAATGCAATTCATGCAAGTCTTTTCCTTTGTACATAAAAATGGGGAGCAAGTCGCGGGGAGAGAGCGCGAAAGAGACCGAAGCAGAGAGAGAGAGGACACGTATATACAGTTATACACCATTATATATATAGGTAAACGCACGAACATAAAAACGTGTAACAGTGTATATGGGGTATAAGCCACAGGCTCCCGGAGCGCACGTATGTACCTATATAAGTATACTCGCTCGCAAGCGCTCGGTAGAGTCGGCAGTTCGAGTCGCTGGGGAACGCGCAAAACTCTCTGCTGCAGTGTTTTCACGCTCTTCGTCCGATTTATTTATTTATTTATTAATTTTTTTTTTTTCTCCATCCGATAAATTGCATTAAAGTACCCACGTACGTGCTAAGCCCTTGGATTTGAAGTAATATATTCCAAGCAGTTGGTTTCCAGAGGAATTGGAGTGTGGATAAAAAACAAAAAAGTCCGCTCTGCTGTTTTGAAGAAGATCCTTTGAAAAGGTACGTTGGTGTGTTATTTTTTTTTTATACGTGCATTAATTTAGTTGTGGACCGTTAAGTAACAAGTAAAATTGATCGAGTTGAGCATATACTTAATTGCCTGTACGACTCCAAAAGGTTTTGGACAGGGGTACACGCGTATATATACGTATATAAAGTAAAGGGAATGGGGCCGAGGGCAGACAAAGGGACTCGACAGACTGTACGTGCATGTATATATATTTATACATTATAATGTGTACTTTGTACTTCTCTTGCTTGTGTATATAAAACGGTATGAATATATACCTCGTTTAAATAACTCCCTCTCCCCCATTTTTTTTTAAATATCGGTGTTCCACGGTGGTTTTTAAAAATTTCAAACGAATTTTAAATCCGAACAGTTTTTATTGGCGGTTGCAGGATGATGCTCCGGCTTTTGTTTTGATTGCGAACACCGAGACGCCGACTGCGTATAAATAAGCTATAGCGACTTTTGGCCGGACGAGACAGGTTAAAAAAGTTTTTTTTTTTTTTTTTTTTTTTTACAAGATAAGTGAGAGCTGAGATTCCGAGGAATATAGTGCGTTACTATATAGAGGTCTTGTGCTTTTTTTTAAATTAGTTTTTATATCGTACAGTGTTTGAGTGACCTTTTCCTTTTCGGAGCAAAGCTGCGCATCACTTGCGTGTATAGCTATTATTTACTTTTGTGTGTACAAACATATACAACATTGTACTTATCGGTAGGTTTTCTGCTGTCGTTGCTGAGGTTAACGCGTTACGCTGATAAAAATACCTACTAACCGTTGTTTATCGAAGGTACGCTTTTTTAATTAACTACCACCAATATTTGACGATTTTTCTAAATATATTATACTATTATTTTCGTGTTTTAAAAGATAATTACATGAATAAGTATCCTATGTTTGTCGTGTGGTTATTCAATTTAGAAAAAAAAAAAAAAAAATGTTTTTACTCGTATACGTATAAGACTAATATTACTTGAAAATCGAAAGGGGCATTGAACTTTTTGTTATTAAATACGTACGTCAGTGCAAATGAGTCCTTGTTTTGATTATGACTCCTCGAGTGTGCGTGTTCATGTCGACTTTATACCTGTTTCCACTCGATGCTGTCAGATTTTCTAGAACACCCTTACAAATGCATCAAAAAAAGACATTCAAAGATATTTCAATTTACAAAGTCACACAACCTCGACTTCTCAGTAAAAACACAATTGCTAACGGTCCATCCGCACCTTTGTTTTGCAGTCACAAAAGCGAGCATGGCAACTGCAACGGAAACACCGATCGTGAATGAGGGTAAGTAATTTCACGAGTCATAGAATCGTTAAACGTCGTCGATTACTCCTATTTGTTTTTTTTTTTTTTTGGGTTGCAACCCGAAACCGGCGCTTACCTCTAGAACATTAGATACGCTCGCTTTGGCAGAGCGTTTATTTCATGTGACTTTATTTTTTATCATTATTATTTTTATTTTATTTTTTTTCATTGGAAAAGTTCCATCGTTGTACCGATGCAGGAATAAAGACGTCCAAAGCCGGCAATGCCATTGAGTAATCAACGCTGTCTTTTCATAATAGTAAAATCTCATTTATTTCAACATTTGCTACTTGCATTATTTACTTTTTGCATATGACTATGACTTTGTGGTATTTTCATAATTTATGGAACGCACAATATAACATGCACATCTAAATTCCGATTTACACAAGATCTCATATCCTGCAAGGAATAGATGATACCTTTAGCTTTGTCTGGTAGAAAAAAAAAGTCCAACAGGGTATTTTTTTAATTTTCGGCCCAAAAAGGATATGCTGATGAAAACTAGTTGCACAAGGGAATCCAAGTCTTTTTCTACGATACTTTTGATCCATATTTTAATCAGTTTTGAATTTTGACTCAATAATAAGCTCTGGGCTACTGATGTTGTGTTGAGCGATTTGGGTTTTATTTTTCAAACCTACATTGTTATTTAACCACTTTTATTTACGTGTATTATATAGTAAAGGGCGCCCAGCGGATCATTAAAACTTAGCGTAAAGTAGATCAGTGACTGTTGAAGACATGATTCGTTAGGAGAACCCACCTTATAGAGATGATAAATAACCAACTGCCACATTGTCATCTGAAAAAAGGTAAGTATTGAAAATTTATGGACTCGCGTGCCTTCACGCGTTGCACCATCTCATCATAGTACTAAATGCGTTGTAGAACGGGTAACCGAATGGTTGTGTGTGTGTGTTTTTTTTTTTTTTTTTTTTTTAAATCAATAACGCCAGATCGAACGTGCGAGCTAACCATCTCATGCAAACCAAATGAGCCCGTCCCACTCGAGAGGAGAGCGACACGTTAAACAAAAACTTTCAAACAACGCGAAAAAAGGTCGCTCCAAGTGAGGTGCATCTATGGCCCGTATAAGTAAGAGATTTCGAAAAATCGTTTCCCACGAGCGTCAACGGCACGGCATACCTACGTATAATATACACATGCACACAAATGTGTAGGTATACATGTAAAATAATAGTGTCGCGCACGAAAAATCGTGACGCGCTACAATATATACCTGCAGCGTCTGTATGGCACGCGTCCCTTTCATTATCTATATCTATGCAGCAGAGAAAAGAGAGCTTTTGTGTACCCACTAAAGAGGAAAAAACCTCTCTATTTTTTTGGGGTAAAGCGTAAGTACGTAGAGTACGGAGCATGACCTACTCGATTTTCAAAATAAGTACACTTTTGTACACTCACGTTGAGAAGCATATTATTTGCAAAGAGACGCTTAGCTGCGAGAGGCCCTTTTTCCCGGGAAGTAAAGAGCGCGTGGGGTAACCTGATTATACAATATATACTCGAGAGGTATATCTCTCTGTTCGCTGCATCGCGACGCGAGAAGGTGAAAATTCACTCGCTTTCCTTTGGGTGTACCATAATACACTGGTTTTTGTTTACTTTTCTTTTTTTTTTTTCTCCGTCTCTATCAAACGGGTCGGAAGAATGAAGACGAGCCGAACAAAAAAAAAAAAAAAAAAAAAAACGGGGCACACGGGGGGAACACTCGGTTAATCCGCGAGGGGGGACAAACAATTTTGGTCGCTACGGAGAAAACTTGACGCTTGTACTTGTACCTGATGGGTACAGACGTTTTCTTTTTCGGTCTTTTTTTTCCCGTTGGCGCTTCTGGCACGGGGAAAGTGAATTTTCACTATGAGCTGTATATGATTCCACAACATGAAAGAAAGAAAAAACCGTCACTTGGGGTGAAGAAACGTATTTCATTTATAATTAAGGACAGTTATACATGCCAAATGACGATTGAGTATGGAAAATTGGTTCTCGCAATTGATAAAACATAAAAAAAAATGAATAAAATACCCTTTGACCTGTTTTGGCCGCGTATAATCATGTACTCCTTGTAAACCAATTTTGTAATATACTACCCGAGCAAGTAATTTTTTAAATGTATTTTTTGCAATTGCAAAGCTTCCTATACTTATACGGTTAAGAAAACCCCACTCGGGTAGATCGAATTTCACACGGGACATCTTTCAACGAGATACACACGCGCTCGCCCAAAGCGCCACTAAATTTCATTTCGAAATCAAACGAACGAGTACATACACCTAATTGACCAGCAAATCCGAGCAATAAAACTGGTCAGCTCTGCGCCAAACAAGCAACCATTTAGCCTTGAAAGCCTCTCGAACAAGCGGCTTTTTTGCTTGGCCATACCGTATAACCTGCTCGTTTTCGTCCACCGCAGGTATACACATTCAACCACAACGAAGCCACCTTACAAACCACTAATCAGCTGCCGTCCCATCCTTACGTGCCTGACCATCGCAGGAAATTTCTCTCTGTCTCCCCGTAACTTCCAGTTTGTACGTATGTTATACACATGCGAGTGACTTTTTAGCTTTTCTCGATTGATGGCTATCAGCAGTACCGTCTCCCCCGTATCCCCCTGTACCAGGTATATTTCTCTTTCTGTCCACGCGGTCGCGAGATCAACTTTTTTTTTTACTCAAGGGAAAGTTTGAAAACAAATTCCACCGCTGCGGAATCTTCTGTCGTTGGAATCTTGGTGAATTGAGCCATTGTACCTGGTCGATGATGGTAACGTTTTTGCGGATGATCGCCTACCATATGCCTTAAAAGTTATTGTTAAAGGATACAAACGGTCTTGATATGCACCGCGGGTTTTTTTCCGTATGCGTATATCTTTGCTAAAAGATTGGAGCTTTAAAAGTTTTTAATCGCCCGAGGTTCAATGGTTTTGTGCTCCCTTTGCTCATTTGGTGTCGGTAGCTGACATTCAGCACATACGATCTTTTGGGGATAATAATATATATGCTCGTACCGATAAAGTTGTAAAGTTTTTTTTTTTTTGTTTTCCTTGAATTTTTTTACGAAACGGGTAATTTTGGCGACAGTTGAAGCTAATAGAAAATGTGTTTTTCAAATATTATTGCTAAAAAAAAAAATGGATTTGTCTACTTCATCCCCCCTGATGTAATCGGAACAAAAGAAATATGTGTTCCCAATTGTTTTTTTTTTTTTTTGAACGACACCATGAACTCTGATTTATATTTTATGAAATCATCGCGATGCGTGGTGAAAAAAAAAAAAAAAATTAAAATTAAAACGAATAAAGCTCCCTCTTGTACACTGATGAAATCACCCTATGGCAAAGTTGGAAGCGCGAATGAATCACGTCGCTTTTAACGACAAAAGCAATTTCTGCCATGTACTCCCCGGTCTCGTCTGGATTGTGAATATGCATGACGTTGAAGTTGTGCTCGGATAATGGCGAGGTGGACAACCAAAAAAAAAGAAAAACTTACGACTCGACGAATCAAACGGAAATTGCGAAATTGAGAAGGAATAATAACGTTCATATTTTTTTTCCTTTTTTAACTTTGGGGGACTGTACATGCGTGATTTCAACTCTTGGGGAGCTTGTTTCGTACATGATTATTTGAAAAACGTAACTATTGTACTTCGAAAACAATGTATACGTTAAACGTGTTATCTTGAAAAAAAAAAAAGAAAAAGAAAAAAAAGATTCTTGATAGTTCTCAATGAAAAACGGAAGACGTAAAAATGCGGCACCCCCTTCGAAAATAAAAGATCGATTCTCAAAAGCTTCGGTGAAAAAAATCGAAAACGATCTCCTCCCCGATTGTGCATCTATATATATATATACAATGCACCCACGAGGGAGGGGTGGATGAGATAAAATATAGCGACTCGCGCCGGCACGTATCGAGCGACGACGACGATGACGCCGGGCGCCGCGGCGCCACCACCACCACCACCTATAGCCGTGACCGTGCCACCCCGTATGTGTTCCTCCTTCGTGCTTGCGAGCTTTTCTCCACACCGCCGAACCCTCAGTCGCCCGTCAGCCACCGCCCAGAACCAATACTCAAAGTATCCCTTTTCTTCTTCTATCCTCTCTGTATTTTATACCGCTACTCGGTTCATCCGGTTAGCTTGCTTCGTTTGGAAAACAAAAACAAAAAAATTATTCCTCGCGCGCCTTTTGCGCCCCTTTTTCTTCCCACTTTGCTGCAAGTGTATACAGGTACGGGGGTGTTGGGAGTAAAGAAGAGGTAATGGTCGCGTGCAGGGGGGGGGAGTGAGGTTGTACAACGTGTACACTCACGTGCCGGTCCTCTCTCTCTCTCTCTCTCTCTCTTGTTAAATTAAAACATTAATTATTGCCAGATTCACTCGAGTAAGGGTAGGGTCGCGCAACTTGACTTGATTAGGGTGGACTGGATAATTAGAAACGGTAATCTCCGAAGGACGACTTTTTACAAGCGCACGAGCTTCATTGACCTGCGAATGAATATTTTTTTTTTTTTTTTTTTTGCCCCCATCACGGTAATTGCGTCGGTTATGCTCGTGCGTATAAATAAGTGATTTCAAACGTGAAACCGCAAACTCACCAACGTCACCGATACAGTCGTTTTTATTGCTTTCGACGGTACTTACACGCATGTATATTATATATAGTATACACTCGAGTGAATTAATTGTCATGGTAACGTAAGTGTATCCTTGCGAGGAATAATTATTATTGTTTAAATAGCGCTAATCACGGCGCTTTGCGCATATCTCTCGTTATTCGTAACGAAATTTACCAAAGTTTCGGGAAAAATTTGACTCTTTGGAAAATTCGTTTAGCGGTAATTTACGCTAGAATATATATGTTTATCTCGTCGTATGGGGGAAAAGCGTAAACAAAACTTTGCAAATGATTTAAGGTTTTGACAATTCGAGCGCCTCCATGTATT